AGACAGCAACCACCCAGGGAGGTACTACTGTCCTGTGGTAGTAGGTTGGTAGACAGCAACCACCCAGGGAGGTACTACCGTCCAGTGGTAGTAGGTTGGTAGACAGCAACCGCCCAGGGAGGTACTACCATCCTGTGGTAGTAGGTTGGTAGACAGCAACCGCCAGGGAGGTACTACCATCCTGTGGTAGTAGTTGGTAGACAGCAACTGCCCAGGGAGGTACTACCATCCTGTGGTAGTAGGTTGGTAGACAGCAACTGTCCAGGGAGGTACTACCATCCTGTGGTAGTAGGTTGGTAGACAGCAACCGCCCAGGGAGGTACTACCATCCTGTGGTAGTAGGTTGGTAGACAGCAACTGCCCAGGGAGGTACTACCATCCTGTGGTAGTAGGTTGGTAGACAACAACCACCCAGGGAGGTACTACCATCCTGTGGTAGTAGGTTGGTAGACAGCAACCACCCAGGGAGGTACTACCATCCTGTGGTAGTAGGTTGGTAGACAGCAACCGCCCAGGGAGGTACTACCATCCTGTGGTAGTAGGTTGGTAGACAGCAACCGCCCAGGGAGGTACTACCATCCTGTGGTAGTAGGTTGGTAGACAGCAACTGCCCAGGGAGGTACTACCATCCTGTGGTAGTAGGTTGGTAGACAGCAACTGTCCAGGGAGGTACTACCATCCTGTGGTAGTAGGTTGGTAGACAGCAACCGCCCAGGGAGGTACTACCATCCTGTGGTAGTAGGTTGGTAGACAGCAACTGCCCAGGGAGGTACTACCATCCTGTGGTAGTAGGTTGGTAGACAACAACCACCCAGGGAGGTACTACCATCCTGTGGTAGTAGGTTGGTAGACAGCAACCACCCAGGGAGGTACTACCATCCTGTGGTAGTAGGTTGGTAGACAGCAACCTAACAGGGAGGTACTACCGTCCTGTGGTAGTAGGTTGGTAGACAGCAACACCCAGGGAGGTACTACCATCCTGTGGTGAGTGTTGGTAGACAGCCATCACCCGGGGAGGTACTACCATCCTGTGGTAGTAGGTTGGTAGACAGCAACCACCCGGGGAGGTACTACCATCCTGTGGTAGTAGGTTGGTAGACAGCAACCACCCGGGGAGGTACTCCCATCCTGTGGCAGTAGGTTGGTAGACAGCAACCACCCAGGGAGGTACTACCATCCTGTGGTAGTAGGTTGGTAGACAGCAACTGCCCAGGGAGGTACTACCATCCTGTGGTAGTAGGTTGGTAGACAGCAACCACCCAGGGAGGTACTACCATCCTGTGGTAGTAGGTTGGTAGACAGCAACCACCCAGGGAGGTACTACCGTCCTGTGGTAGTAGGTTGGTAGACAACATCCGCCCAGGGAGGTACTACCATCCTGTGGTAGTAGGTTTGTAGACAGCAACCACCCAGGGAGGTACTACCGTCCTGTGGTAGTAGGTTGGTAGACAACCACCCAGGGAGGTACTACCATCCTGTGGTAGTAGGTTGGTAGACAGCAACTGCCCAGGGAGGTACTACCATCCTGTGGTAGTAGGTTGGTAGACAGCAACCACCCAGGGAGGTACTACCATCCTGTGGTAGTAGGTTGGTAGACAGCAACCACCCGGGGAGGTACTACCATCCTGTGGTAGTAGATTGGTAGACAGCAACCACCCAGGGAGGTACTACCATCCTGTGGTAGTAGGTTGGTAGACAGCAACCACCCAGGGAGGTACTACCGTCCTGTGGTAGTAGGTTGGTAGACAGCAACCACCCAGGGAGGTACTACTGTCCTGTGGTAGTAGGTTGGTAGACAGCAACCACCCAGGGAGGTACTACCGTCCAGTGGTAGTAGGTTGGTAGACAGCAACCGCCCAGGGAGGTACTACCATCCTGTGGTTAGTAGGTTGGTAGACAGCAACCGCCAGGGAGGTACTACCATCCTGTGGTAGTAGGTTGGTAGACAGCAACTGCCCAGGGAGGTACTACCATCCTGTGGTAGTAGGTTGGTAGACAGCAACTGTCCAGGGAGGTACTACCATCCTGTGGTAGTAGGTTGGTAGACAGCAACCGCCCAGGGAGGTACTACCATCCTGTGGTAGTAGGTTGGTAGACAGCAACTGCCCAGGGAGGTACTACCATCCTGTGGTAGTAGGTTGGTAGACAGCAACTGCCCAGGGAGGTACTACCATCCTGTGGTAGTAGGTTGGTAGACAGCAACCACCCAGGGAGGTACTACCGTCCTGCCAAGTGAGTGTAAAACAGAATCCTGTAATTGTTTTACATGATGGTAGGATTGCTGGTGTCTTTTGTCTGTCTCATAAACATGCAAGGTTTCAGGTACATCTTGCTACTTCTACTTACAGTTAGGTCACACTACACATACATGTACAAGCATGTATATACACACCCCTCTGGGTTTTCTTCTATTTTCATTCTAGTTCTTGTTCTTGTTTATTTCCTCTTATCTCCATGGGGAAGTGGAACAGAATTCTTCCTCCGTAAGCCATGTGTGTTGTAAGAGGCGACTAAAATGCCGGGAGCAAGGGGCTAGTAACCCCTTCTGTATAAATTACTTAATTTAAAAAGATAAACTTTCGTTTTTCTTTTTGGGCCACCCCGCCTTGGTGGGATACGGCCGGTTTGTTGAAAAGAAAAAAATATGATACAACTTATACATCCATAGCTGACATTAATGACATACTGTCTAGAAAGTCCCTGGTTATGCAGAGCATTTCCTGCAACTTTGGTTAATTTTGTCCCCACGATGCAACTCACACCAGTCACCTAACACCCAAGTACCTACTTACTGCTAGGTGAACATGAACAGCAGGTGTCTTTAGGAAACCTGCCCAATGTTTCCACTCATACCGGGGATCGAACCACAGACACTCAGTGTGTGAGCTGAGTGCATCCACTCATCCATTTTGTAATCTTACTTTCAGATTCTTATTAAACAACCTCAGCTCCATTCAGTCATTTTCCTTATTGATAAGCTTTTGACAAGACCTGAAGCTGAGTTGGCAGCTCACACACTGAGTGTCCAGGGATCGATCCCCGATATATGTGCAACACTGGGCAGCTTACACACTGAGTGTCTAGGGTTCGATCCCCGGTATATGTGCAACACTGGGCAGCTTACACACTGAGTGTCCAGGGTTCGATCCCCGGTATATGTGCAACACTGGGCAGCTCACACACTGAGTGTCCAGGGTTCGATCCCCGGTATATGTGCAACACTGGGCAGCTTACACACTGAGTGTCCAGGGATCGATCCCCGATATATGTGCAACACTGGGCAGCTTACACACTGAGTGTCTAGGGTTCGATCCCCGGTATATGTGCAACACTGGGCAGCTTACACACTGAGTGTCCAGGGTTCGATCCCCGGTATATATGCAACACTGGGCAGCTCACACACTGAGTGTCCAGGGTTCGATCCCCGGTATATGTGCAACACTGGGCAGCTCACACACTGAGTGTCCAGGGATCAATCCCCGATATATGTGCAACACTGGGCAGCTTACACACTGAGTGTCTAGGGTTCGATCCCCGGTATATGTGCAACACTGGGCAGCTTACACACTGAGTGTCCAGGGTTCGATCCCCGGTATATATGCAACACTGGGCAGCTCACACACTGAGTGTCCAGGGTTCGATCCCCGGTATATGTGCAACACTGGGCAGCTCACACACTGAGTGTCCAGGGATCGATCCCCGATATATGTGCAACACTGGGCAGCTTACACACTGAGTGTCCAGGGTTCGATCCCCGGTATATGTGAAACACTGGGCAGCTCACACACTGAGTGTCCAGGGTTCAATCCCCGGTATATGTGGAACAATGGGCAGCTCACACACTGAGTGTCCAGGGTTCGATCCCTGGTATATGTGGAACACTGGGCTTGTTTCTTTACACCTACTGTCCCTGTACACCTAGTAGCAAGTAGGTACCAGGATGCAACCCATATCAGTGGGTGGCGTCCTGGGGGACAAGACTAACCCAACTTGCTTGAAATGCTCTGCATTTCTATAATTTGTCACTGACGTCAGCTATGGTCTGTATAAGTTGAATCATTTGCTTGTAGAAATATTGTTATTACAATTCTTATTATTATTATAAACTCATTTGTCTCCCTTACTGCTGAGCTTCTAAGATAAGAGAGATAAGATTTTCTTTGGGCTTTTAACCTCGGAGGGTTAGCCACCCAGGATAACCCAAGAAAGTCAGTGCGAGGACTGTCTGTCTTATTTCCATTGGAGTCCTTAATCTTGTCTCCCAGGATGCGACCCACACCAGTCGACTAACACTCAGGTACCTATTTGCTGCTAGGTGAACATAACAATAGGTATAAGGAAACACGTCGAAATGTTTCCACCCCGCCGGGAATCGAACCCGGGCCCTCCGTGTGTGAAGCGGGAGCTTTACCCACCAGACCACCAGGCACCTCTGGGGGATAAACGATAATCAGGTTTGATCAAATGATAGGAAGGGTAGCTCTTGTCCCTTGAATCAAGAATCCTTCCTCAGCATGAAAGCCCCCCCCCCTTCCTCCCCATAAAATGCCTTGTGAGACTAGTTTTAACCCATGGAATGGGTGGGGTTAGAACCATGGCAAGTCTTCTTACTGTAGCCAGTTACCCAGTGGCTTACACACTGGCTTGGAGTTTTACTACTCACTTGCCATGGGTTCTAACCCTACCTGTTCTGTGGTTTGTTGGCAGTCGTGTTAATAAGATGTCATGAGTCACAATAATCTTGGTAAGATATAACCGCATTTCACGCAAGTGACCCCTCAAGGAAGGTTCCTTGATGTTGGTGAGGGGCTCTTGATTTAGGGAATTGGATCTGTGCTCCAGTTCCCCGAATTAAGCCTGAATGCCTTCCACATTCCCTCTCCCAGGCGCTGTATAATCCTACGGGTTTAGTGCTTCCCCTTGATTATAATAATAATAATCACACCAGTGAGGTGGCAAGAAATATCAAACTAGATCAATATCTGAAGGATACTCACTAAACGCATTTTGAGAAAAAGTCATTTATTTTCTGAAAATCAAAACTCAAGATTCTTGGGAAGTTTGCCTCCCATGCAGGCAGGACCAGCAGGTTTATTAATGGGGTCTTCCTGACTTCTACTGACAGTTTCTGACAATTCTGGAGGCAAGTGGAGGCGCTCAATCATCAACTTGCGCTTCCTCAGTTTAAACACCCAATCTGTTGAGTCCAGCATTGGTGAGACCAGACTATTAATGGCTGCTAACTTGACTACATGGAAGAGCCCATGATAATCTTTAAAAGCTGGATTAGTTTCCTTATCTGAGCCTTGGAATGACTCTAACCTTATCACAAAGTCAGCCAGTGTTTGTAGCCGAAGTGTCAAATTGGGATCAGCGAAGAGATGGGAGGGAACTGTCATTAAACACACAGAGAAGGAAGTGCGAACCAGCGCCCTCAACATAAACAAGAAGGTAGTGAGGTTGTGCCATTGGTGATCTTTTTCCTGGTGGGAAAACTCCCAACCCCAGAGTGGGGATCCCACTGAGTGTAGGGCCAGACGCATCACGTTGGTCTTGCTTTTGTTGCATGATGTTGATAGATTACCATCCTCTATCCTTTTCTTAATTAACTGCAGCAATGACCAGTAATTCTTATTCTCTAACTTCCCCTTCCCTTCCTCGGCCTCTGAGCCGTCCCAGAGAGCCAAGTCCACATGAGAAATGATTTCTGCATCCATTGACTTTGTCAGGTCATAATTGTGGCCAAACCTGTTGCCAACATTGGTTCCAGGTTGAGAGGCTTTGTTTTGGTACCTCCAGGCAATACTCATCTTTTTGTCATCAGCATAAGTCTGAGCCTCATCAGGTTCCACGTCTATTGAAGCAGGCAAATCTTCTGTAATTGTCTGAGGAGAAACATCAAGACTGGCCAGGGTAAGAATATGGTTATTCATTACACCTTCAGCAAGGTAATATTTCAGGAATAACTTGCTGTACACATCATATCTATCTTGTTCTATGAGGAGGATGGAGCCAACAGGAAGGCCGCCCCCAATGAGGTAGTCTAGTGATGGTAACCCACAGGAGAGCAGCAGCTGCGAGTTGTGGATGGATGGATGAGTTCCTGGAATGGAGACGACTCTCGCTTTTCCTTTCTTCTGAAAACTGCTGACTGTGCCAGTCGCAGCCATCTGCAACAAATAACAATGGTGAGTCATTACGTAACCCTTTAACTGCCGGAACTCCTGAAATTAAAAGTGCTCTCAATGTTGGCTTAAAAAAAAAAATACAGTGGGCCCCCGGTTTACGATATTATTTCATTCCAGAAGCATGTTCAGGTGCCAGTACAGTGGAACCTCAAAAATCAAACTGCTCCCAAAACAACCAATTATGTAAGTGTATTTTTGTAAGTGCTTTTATAAGTGCATTTTTGAGGGTCTGAAATGGACTAATCTAATTTACATTATTCCTCATGGGAATAAATTCATTCGGTAAAGGCACTCGAACAGCCTTCTGGACCAAAGAAAGTTCGAAATTTGAGGTTCCACAGTACTGAACGAATTTGTTCCCATAAGGAATATTGTGAATTAGATTAGTCCATTTCAGACCCCCAAACATACACGTACAAACGCACTTACATAAATACACTTACATAATTGGTCGCATTGGGAGGTGATCGTAAAGCGGGAGTCCACTGTACTATTTTTTTTGAGATGGCAGATAAGCTTTTCCTTAGGCCTGGTCAAAGACTGGGCCAGGGGGGGGGGGGAATGACCCCTGAAATACCCTCCAGATAGGTGATGTCAAAAATAAAAAAAAAAATTATGAAAACTGCCTTGATCTACATTTCACTGTTAGCACTCCAAATATTTTGAAAAAAAAAAAAAAATTACAACAAAGAGAACAATTTCCTGAGTGTAATAAGGCAAAATTTCTTTCTTTTTGCGCCAGTACTTATTGAGATATAAGATGGTGAAGTTGGCGCTGGATGCTCACCTGGTCCACATTTTTTAATACTGAGCACACTGAGTGTTAAGATCCATTCAGTACTGACTAGGCCTCTCAGGCCTGTCGTACCAATACACAAATAACCCGCACATAAAAGAGAGAAGCTCACAACGACGTTTCGGTCCGAGTCGGACCAAAACGTCGTCGTAAGCTTCTCTCTTTTATGTGCGGGTTATCTGTGTACCTGTCGTACCAAATTTGGAGGCAAGAAAAATAAATCGTTGATCTATGTTTGGAGCACTAGCAGTAGGAACGTAAATCAATGTTTTTACAGATATATGTAATGGCTTAATGTACAACAGTGAGGGACTTGAGGAAAGAACAGAATAACTTTTTATGATGCAATAATTCTTTAAACTGATTCAGTGATCTTAAGTTAATTGGGGTTTCTTAAGCAGTTTCAAATTGGTTCTATGGCATCAGGCTATGGATTACTTTTTCAAAAATTTTAGACAGTTGTGGCAAGTTGAAAATTGTCCTGTAATTACTGACTTGTGACAAGCCACCAGTTCTGTAGTTTAAGACAAGAGGAGTCACGTGTCTATAAATGCCAATACAAGTTTCTATCAATGTAATACATTGCTTATACAGAAATGGGTGACACATGAGAGGTGGCTGAGAGCCCATGATTATATAGAGTATTTTGGGCAAACTGAAGCTAAACATAAGACTACCAGAGCATATCCTAGGTAATTTACACACGTTACTATTGATAATTTGTGTAACGGTATGCAAATACCCCAAACATAGGAGAGATGAGCTTATGACGATGTTTGGGTCTGACTTGGACCATTTACAGTGTGACTTTGTAAATGTTCCAAGTTGGACCCAAACGTCATCATAAGCCCCTCTTTCCTATGTGCGGGTTATTTGTGTATTGTTCCAGCCATGGTACTACGCCTTCTTGTTCTTTTTGTAATTGTAATTAGGTGTACCAGTACCTGAATAAACTTACTATCACTATACACGGCAAATCCATCAATCTCAGCCGACTCCTCAATGTAGCCACCACTGAACTTCAGCTGAACTTCGGGAACCTCTGGGTGTTTGTACCACTAGATAATCTACACATAACCAAGTACATATAAACTTTACCACTGGAACTACTGTTCTGCTCATCAGTGGGTAGGAATGACACTAATTTTGCCACTGCTAACAGATGGTATTTACTATACCCCTTACACTTATTTTAATGTTAAATATGAACTTCAATTTATGACTACAGTGAGATAATACAGTGGAACCTCAGTTGTCAACTGCATTACTTGTTGAACACATTGGTTTTAGAAGAGTGAGGTGCAATACAGTGGACCCCCGGTTTACGATATTATTTCATTCCAGAAGTATGTTCAGGTGCCAGTACTGAACGAATTTGTTCCCATAAGGAATACTGTGAATTAGATTAGTCCATTTCAGACCCCCAAACATACACGTACAAACGCACTTACATAAATACACTTACATAATTGGTCGCATTGGGAGGTGATCGTAAAGTGAGAGTCCACTGTACTTATGGTAATAGTAGCAGTAATATTAGTTGTAGTAATACTAGTAGTACTACTATATGATACAACAATTAACTTCGTCACAAACGTTGCCACAATTAAATGCCACATTAGTTGCACTTGTGTTATTTTACCTTGCATACTGTCGGTAATTCCACCAACATTAATGGAAAACAAGTTGCTGGAGGAGTTCAGTTTTATAACTGTGAAGTTCTTGCCTCCTAACACCACTCCTCTCATCCAGCCCATGGACCAGCAGATCATTTCTAACTTCAAGAAACTCTGCACCAAAGCTCTTTTTGAAAGGTGTTTTGAAATCACTTCAGAAACAAATTTTACCCTCAGGGAGTTCTACAAGGACCATTTCAATATCCTCACCTGTTGAGAATTATAGACAAAGTCTGGGGAGATGTGTCTTCCAGGACCATGCAGTCAGTATGGAAGAAATTGTAACCTGACTTTGTGGCAGCCAGGGATTTTGAAGGCTTTGAAGATGAGTCTGAGCCAGTAGAGGATATTGTGTCCCTGGGGAAGATTGGGCCCAGAGGTGACTGAAGATGATGTGGAGAAGTTGGTGTAGGAGCGCTGAACTGAGCACACCACAGAACTTGTAGACCTTCAGAAGGAACAGCAACAGATTGTGCCAGAGGCACTGTCATCAGAGGAAGAGGAGGGAAGGGATGATGTGCTCATTGCACTTGTCAAGGAAAAGTGTGCTAAATGGCAGGAAGTGCCACCCAGACACAGCAGTGGCCATCCGTCTCTCTAACATGTACAGTGACAGTGTAATGTCTCAATTTAACCTGTAAACGGTCCAAGCAGATCTACGTTCACATGTGTAGTGCTACAAAAGTAGATCTACGTTCACATGTGTAGTGCTACAAAAGTAGATCTACGTTCACATGTGTAGTGCTACAAAAGTAGATCTACGTTCACATGTGTAGTGCTACAAAAGTAGATCTACGTTCACATGTGTAGTGCTACAAAAGTAGATCTACGTTCACATGTGTAGTGCTACAAAAGTAGATCTACGTTCACATGTGTAGTGCTACAAAAGTAGATCTACGTTTTTTTTACATATTTTCAAATATTACAAAAAAAAAAGTAAATCAAAGTTTTTTTACACATTTTCAAATGTAAAAAAACAAAAAGATCTACTTTTTTTACATACTTTCAAATGTTGAAAAAACGTATATATACGTTTGGACCGTTTACGGGTCAAACAAGTGTGAAAACGGAGCCTGAAACAAACCTCACTGGACAGGTTTTTAGAGAGACAAAGTACCAGCGAGCCAGAACAACATGTTAGCGGTGAAAGAAACCAAGAGGAGAAACAACACCAGGACAGTTGCCTGACATATTAACCCCTTCAGGGTCCAAGACCAAAATCTGAAGTGGTGCTCCAGTGTCCATGAAATTTTGAAAAAAAAACAAAAATTGTTTTTTCTTACAGAATTAAAGAGCATATTTTTGTGAAGGTAATAAGACAAAAAAAAATTTCTGATCAGTACTTACCGAGATACAGTGCCAAGAAGTTTGTCCAAAATGACCTGGTGGCGGCAATATCGACGATTTCCACATACGCGCATTACTTTATTTAGCGTTTTTTGTTGTTTTTTCTTTTCTTTTCCAATTTTTTTCTATTCCTACTAACATTTGGGGCCTGAGAGACCAATACTGTATATAATGTATATATATAAACTCACTGTATTGAACACAATAACCGCACTAAAGTTATTATCATATTATTGTTTACCACTGTTGTTTATTACAATAAACATGCACAAATCTTGTATAATACTAATGTTCTATCATATATTTACATATTTACAATCACTGGACATGGTTTTAGAACTGCTGGAGCTTGTGGAACTCCTTGAAACAAGGCACCATACACAGAGGCACCTTACATTCCTCACACATAAACCGAGTGTCTTTGTGTCTTTGTTGCCGGCGTTTTGTTTGTGCACAGACAATGCATCTCTTCTGAGCAAATTTCTTCTGAGTTGAAAGAAGCTGTATTATGAAATGATCACCTTCCCTCCTCAAACACTTGGGTATATTCTGAGGAATTCGAGGACCATGTTGTATAGCAGGTGTTGTTACCTGGTACTTCATTATGAGTTGTCTGACAACAGACAAACAAAATTCACCATATGGTGGTCTGTTGCCAGTCTTTATTTGGTACATATTATATGCATTAAGCATTGAAATGTCCATGAGATGGAAGAAAAGTTTCATGTACCACTTGTAACTCTTACGAACACAATCAACAAAACCAATCTGCATGTCACATTTGTCAACCAAGCGCATGTTTTGTGTATAATCAATCACTGTCACTGGTTTTCGAATACGTTCATTAGTCACTCGATCAACTTTGCCACTGTCTTGCATTTCGTTACGGTGAATGTCATGCCACCGTAATGCCATGATGTCATTGGGAGTAAACACCTGCACGTCATCACCACGAGCACCTGCGTTGAACCTGGGCATATGTTTACGATTAGAACGCACTGTGCCACACACATCAGTCTTGTTCCCTCGCAAGAAATCACTGAGTAAAGGGCTTGTGTACCAGTTATCGGTATATAATGTATGCCCCTTACCAAGATAAGGTGCCATCATGCTTCTCACTACATCACCTGAGATACCCAATAACATCTTGGTATCTGTCAATGTTTTACTTCCTGTGTATACAACAATATCCAACACCAGGCCACTGTCACAGTCACAGAGTACAAACAGTTTTATACCAAAGCGTTTCCTCTTGCTCGGTATATACTGCTTGAATGACAGCCTACCTTTGAACAAAATCAAAGACTCGTCAATTACAAGATTCTTGAATGGATAAAAGTACATGTTGAACTTTTGTTTGAGATACATAAAAACATTTCTAATCTTGTATAACCTGTCACTTCTGTCAGGCCTGGTTTTGTCAGAGAAGTGCAACATACATAACAGTAAGATAAACCTGTTCACTGGGATGATTTCACTGAAGGATGGGGTAGAAATTAGCTGATCTGTGGACCAGTATGCTTTTATATTATGCTTATAGACATGAGGCATAAGCATCATAGTTGCAAAAAGCAAATACATTTCTGCAACAGTCGTCTCTTTCCACCGGTGTAGCCTTGACTGTGGTGATATCATTGTATTTGCCATGGTGTACTCAAAATATGTACTTGCTACTTTCCCTGACAATAATTTCCATCAAGGGCTGGTCAAAGAATATTTCAAAAAATTCCAGTTCATTGGCCGTGGTTCCAAGGGAACAAGTAGGTAGAATCCCACTTTGAGAGTCATCAAATTGGTGGGGATTGAGAACAAAATTGGGATCTTGCTGCCAATCCAAAATACGGTTTGCTGGTGGATACTGGACATCATAGGCTGGTTGTGCAGGTGGTTGTGGTGGGCTGGTGGCTGATGCTCCGCTTTGTCCTTGAACCACGGAGTCAGCAGTGTGGGTCCCAGCCTGGGCTGGTGAGTCACGCATGGCCGTGGCACTACCATCACCACTACCACCATCTACTGATGCCTGTGGTCTATCCATGCCAAGTGTAGCCACATCATCCTCACTATCACTGTCTATACCTGGTGTAGGGCCACAGGATGTACTCCGTCCCCTGGGCACTGCATAGGGTACACTACCCGAGCGCATGCGGCAGCATACATACCGACGCTTCACTGGCGAATATGATTCCTCACTATCACTACTCAAATGATTGTCAAGAGCAATAAAATCACAATCCACGTCACTATCATCATCATTACTGAAGTCAGAGGCCTGGCCACACGAAAACAATAGTTTTCTCTTGCGTTGAGGTACAACTGACCGTGACTGAGGAGTGCCCACACCAGAGGTAGAAGGTTGAGGATCATCAGGGTTTTCTGCACTATTATTGATATCCTGGTCATTCCTTTCGGTCACTAACTGATCAAAGCCAAAGAATTCGTCTTCATTTCCACTTCCATCAGTGTCAAAACTATCAGATAGGAAGAGGAGAGTCCCAATTTTCCTTGGAGTGAGCACTGACTTGCGACGAGGCATGGTGAACAAAAGTAATTGAGCCGGCGTTCCCACAATGCCATGCAGGCACCTAGATTTTTTGTTTATGGCGCACACCCACCACGCAGACCCGTTCTCTCACATGTAGGCTTATGAGCATTTTCGCGCTAAATTTGACGGCGTTAGAATTTTGGCATAGATCTATGGCTTGGACCCTGAACATGAAGCAATAGATCTATGGGACGGACCCTGAAAGGGTTAATAACAAGGTGACTCTCCTTCCAAGCAGTAACATATCCCCTCCACTCCTCCACCTCCAGCTTCCAGTATGCCATTAACTCTCCTCTGACTGTTAAGAGGCAGTTAAATTTTCATTTACTGACAGTATTTCAGTTACAGTTTCTTTTAGCATACATTCATTTTTACACAAATAACCCGCACATAAAAGAGAGAAGCTTACGACGACGTTTCGGTCCGACTTGGACCATTGACAAAGTCACACTGTCACTGTGACAAAGTCACAGTGTGACTTTGTCAATGGTCCAAGTCGGACCGAAACGTCGTCGTAAGCTTCTCTCTTTTATGTGCGGGTTATTTGTGTATCGTTCCAGTCACGGTATTGTGCCTTTTTTGTTATTCATTTTTACAGTTTTATGAAGTGGTACATTTTAAAGAAATTACATATATTGTCAATTGGGGTCTGGAATAGATTAATTCTATTTCCATTATTCTTTATGGGAAAATTGCTTTGGCTGTCGTCTATTTTGGTTATCGAATTAACATCCGGAACGAATTAAGTTCGAGAACCAAGGTTCCAATGCATAAGATTTTGTTGGGTTTTTAGCCTCAGAGGGTTAGCCACCCAGGGTAGGGAGAGTTAGCCACTCAGGATAACCTAGGGTAGGGAGTGTTAGCTACCCAGGATAGGGAGGGTTAGCCACCCAGGATAACCCAGGGCAGGGAGTGTTAGCTACCCAGGATAACCCAAAGTAGGGTGTGTTAGCCACCCACAAGAACCCAGGGTAGGGAGTGTAAGCTACCCAGGATAACCCAGAATAGAGAGTGTTAGCCACCCAAGGTAGGGAGGGTTAGCCACCCAGGGTAGGGAGGGTTAGTCACCCAGGATAACCCAATGTAGGGAGTGCTAGCTACCCAGGATAAGCCAGGGTAGGGAGTATTAGCCACCCACAATAACCCAGGGTAGGGAGTGTTAGACAGCCAGGATAACCCAGGGTAGGGAGTGTTAGCCAGCCAGGATAACCCAGGGTAGGAAGTGTTAGCCAGCCAGGATAACCCAGGGAAGGGAGTGTTAGCCACCCAGGATAACCCAGGGTAGGGAGTGTTATCCACCCAGGATAACCCAGGGTAGGGAGTGTTAGCCAGCCAGGATAACCCAGGGTAGGAACTTTTATCCACCCAGGATAACCCAAGGTAGGGAGTGTTAACCAGCGAAGATAATGCAAGAAAGTCAGTGCATCATGGAGGACTGCCCGTCGTATTTCCACTGAGAACATTTGAAAAATTGATTCCTAACATAAAAAAGAACATACAGAACACAGGACAGTCACAGTTTATGCCTTAGCTTCTTTACATGAACAAATAAAAGAAAGCAGACTCACTGTGCTAACTAATCAACAGATGTGATATACAAAAGTGCGACTCTCTGGTAACTCTCCCATCAGCTCTGCGGAGTTGCTTGTCTCGGGATAAGTTGAACCCTCAACTAAATCTGTAAACAAAATGACAATATTGTATTCTTCAGAAAAATTAACTTAATGATTATTAATTAGGTGAAAACTGTTGACAGAGAGAGTGTGGTGATGTCCGCAACAATAACGATCAGTCAAGACTTTGATCGTAGATCTACGTTTTTTTTTTTACATTGTTCTTATGGAGAAAATCAAGGATGGAGCGCTACGCATGCAAACGGAGATCTACATTTGAACAGTTAAAGGGTTAAAACAATATCAAAGATGGTCTACACAAACCCAATACCATTATGGTATGCTCCTCACTTAGTGACGAGTTCGCTTACCAACGTGGTCTTAGGAACGGAACTCCGTCGTTAAGTGAGGAGAGGTTGTACCGGTATTGAAGAGTAAATACAAGAGTTACATTCTGGGTAATTAACTTAAGTTTCATCTCCAAAGTATGTAACTGCTTTTCTAACATGTCAGACATCAGTGTTTTCAATTATGTCAGCTATCAGTATTTTCAGTTGTGTGTTAATACATATAACTATCACTGAATATACAATTACAACTTCATTTACTGTACTTTTGTTGTTAAATCTGTATTTACTAGCACCCCATAATAATAATAATAATAATAATAATAATAATAATAATAATAATAATAATAATAATAATAATAATAATAATAATCATTTATTTCTACAAGTACATGTACAAGGTATACAGACCATAGCTGACATCAATGACATACTACTACTGTATATAGAAAGTCACTTGTTATGCTGAGCATTTCAGGCAAATTACGTCAGTTTTGTCCCAGGATGTGACCTACTCCAGTCGACTAACACCCATTTTACATTGATGGGTGAACATGGACAGCAGATGTCTTATGGAAACACGTCCCTAATGTTTTGCAGCTGTACCGGAGATCTGAACTCTGGACCTCAGTGTGCGAGTTGAGTGCGCTAGCGATCGAGCTACGGGACATCTTGTAGATAGGCAAGATAAATTAGATAGGCAAGACAGATTAAGTAAGAGATATACAGGCAGCTGTGTTCGTACAGTTCCTAAGGTTCGTGACCCACAATGAGAAGTGAAAATCACCAGCAGGTGGAAAAGAGCATTTTTCCATCATCAAATGCAGCTAAAATGCCAAAATTCCTGATAACGTGCTTACACTATCATATCCTAAGTGCTCAGTATAGCTACGCATAAAAAACACATAGAAAATAAAATAAATACAGAGTACAGTAGAACTCCAATATCCACGATTTCAGTTATCCATGTTTACTGTGGCCCAAAAATACCTCTTAATTGTGCTTAATAATGGACCCCAAAGCACAAAAGTAGAGAAGCTGACAGTTCTTCAAAGTCTAAGAGAAGCTGACAGTTCTTCAAAGTCTAAGAGAAGCTGACAGTTCTTCAAAGTCTAAGAGAAGCTGTGAAGTTCTTCCCATCAGTAAAAAAGTGATAATTCTCCACTTACTGTGCATAATTTATCAAATAAACTTTATAATAGGTACCTATAGGACTTACACATAGTGTTTGCTACTGTCTAGAGTTTCTGTATCCATGGCAGGTCCTTGGAATGGCAGGTCCTTGGAATGGCAGGTCCTTGGAATGGCAGGTCCTTGGAATGGCAGGTCCTTGGAATGCATCCCCAGGGATACTGGGGTCCTATTCTATATGCAATACTTAAAATACGGCGCTGGTCGTCCTTCCCTTACACAACTCTTGTGCAAAAACAGCGGAAGAGCGCCGAACATAATGAACAATGACTCGGTTGAATGTCAACAAAAATGTGGAACACCAAAAAAGAAGAGGTGTATATGTGGGGTTCTGCTGTATATGTGGGGTTCTGGTGTATATGTGGGGTTCTGCTGTATATGTGGGGTTCTGGTGTATATGTGGGGTTCTGCTGTATATGTGGGGTTCTGGTGTATATGTGGGGTTCTGCTGTATATGTGGGGTTCTGCTGTATATGTGAGGCTCTGCTGTATATGTGAGGTTCTGCTGTATATGTGGGGTTCTGCTGTATATGCAGGGTTCTGCTGTATATGTGGGGTTCTGCTGTATATGTGAGGCTCTGCTGTATATGTGAGGTTCTGCTGTATATGTGGGGTTCTGCTGTATATGTGGGGTTCTGCTGTATATGTGGGGCTCTGGTGTATATGTGGGGTTCTGGTGTATATGTGGGGTTCTGCTGTATATGTGGGGTTCTGCTGTATATGTGGGGTTCTGCTGTATATGTTGGGCTCTGATGTATATGTGGGGTTCTCCTGTATACACGGGTTTCTCCTGCATACACGGGGGTTCTCCTGTATATACAGGGTTCTCCTGTATACACGGGGGTTCTCCTGTATACACGGGGGTTCCCCTGTATACACGGGTTTCTCCTGTATACATGGGGGTTCTCCTGTATACACAGGGTTCTCCTGTATACACAAGGGTTCTCCTGTATACATGGGGGTTCTGCTGTATATACAGGGGTTCTCCTGTATACATGGGGTTCTCCTGTATACATGGGGTTCTCCTGTATACATGGGGGTTCTCCTGTATACATGGGGGTTCTCCTGTATACACGGGGTTCTCTCGTATACTCAGGGTTCTCCTCTAAACCCAGGCCTTCTTGTATAATAGATTCAGTGGGGAATACATTGAGGTTCCAGTGGGGGAATACATTGGGGTTTCAGTGGGGAATACACTGGGGTTTCAGTGGGGAATACAATGGGGTTTCAGTGGGAATATATTGGGGTTTCAATGGAGAATACATTGAGGTTTCAGTGGAGAATACACTGGTGTTTTAGTGGGGAATACAGTGGGAAACACAATGGTAACAAGTGTCTGTCAGTTGCAACCAATGTTATATGGTTGTTATCTCATTTACTGTTTTTTTTATTAACACATAGCCCGATTCCCACCACTGCAGCATGATCCGAAAGAGAAGAAACACTTTCCACCATCACTCACTCCATCACTGTCTTGTCAGAGGCATGTCAACACTACACTTAATAGTTTTCTAGCATTGAAATTACCTACTCGCGCACCCAGACTTTTGCAATATTTAAATGTAAATCAAATGTTAAAGTTACACCTGAAAATAAGAAAAAATAGAACATTACCATTTCTCGATGTTCGTAAATCGTAAACGAACATTCACAGTAAACGCACAATTCACTGTTTATTCCTATTCAGTATAAATAAAAATCTCTATCCACACTAGCTTCTAGGCATAATAGAGGCTCTCTTTATGTTGCAACCCACTATTGTAAATACAAAATCTTAATGTAGTGTTTGTAAAGATATAAAATAAATAAAAAAATAAATTATCGTTCACAGAATAACAGTTCCCCAATTATTTTTTGAGAACGATTTTAATAAATATTTTATAAAAACATCACAGACTGAGCTACAAAAGTTTTTGTAACACATTTTAATTATTATTATTATTATTATTATTATTATTATTATTATTATTATTATTATTATTATTATTATTATTATGCACTGCCAAACTTTGTAAATATTTCTTTATTTTCAGACAAAAAAAAGCCCCTGTTTTTTTAATCAATAAAAGCAACAAAAGTCATAAAAAGAAATATATCCCCAAGTCACATAATTATACTGAAGTATGACTATGCAAATTTAAGTTTGTTTCAATCAGTATAAAATAATATAGTTTACCTGGAGTATACCTGGACAGGGTTTACATGGAGCAAAATATAGTGGTACCCCGAGTTTCGAACAATTATTTAAGTGTATTTCTGTAAGTACGTTTGTAAGTGTATTTTTGAGGGTCTGAAATGGTCTAATTTAATTTACATTGATAAATTAGACACATGTGCAACTCTTGGGTATCTTTATTGAGGAAACGTTTCGGAGGAGAATGAGGTAATCAGTCCCTCAACCTTGAGTCGATGTGGTCAGTCCATCTATTCAAGATTGATGGACTGACCACATCGACTCAAGGCTGAGGGACTGATTACCTCATTCTCCTCCTGTTCTTAACATTTCTCCTGTGTATGGACTGATGAAGCCACTGTGAGGCGAAACGTTTCCTCAATAAAGATACCCAAGAGCTGCACATGTGTCTAATTTATCAACTTGTCGGTTCTCTGAACCATTCATCTAATTTACATTATTCCTTATGAGAACAAATTCGTTCTGTATTGGCACTGGAACAGCCTTCTGGAACACATTAACCCGTAAACGGTCCAAGCAGGTCTACGTTCACATGTGTAGTGCTACGAAAGTAGATCTAAGTTTTTTACACATTTTCAAATGTAAAAAAACAATAAGATCTACTTTTTTTACATACTTTCAAATGTTGAAAAAACATATATATACGTTTGGACCATTTACGGGTTAAGTTTGAAACTCTGGGTACCACTGTACTCTTAGCAACAATAAAAGAAGCCACTTTAGTAAACTAAAACCTAATGTTTCGAGACTACTTAAGAGTTAGACACAGACTATTAACTAGAATTCATTTATACACTGAACTTATACAGTGGACCCCCGCATAACGATATTAATCCGTTCCTGAGAGCTCATTGTTATGCGAATGAATTTTCCCCATTAGAAATAATGGAAATCAAATTAATCCGTGCAAGACACCCCAAAGTATGAAAAAAAAAATTTTTACCACATGAAATATTAATTTTAATACACACAAACTGAAAAAGGCATGCACAATTACATGACACTTACCTTTATTGAAGATCTGGTGATGATTGATGGGATGGGAGGAGGAGAGAGTCTTAGTGTTTAGAAGGGGAATCCCCTTCCATTAAGACTTGAGGCGTCAAGTCCTTTTCTGGGGTTACTTCTCTTCTTTTAATGCCACTAGGACCAGCTTCAGAGTCACTGGACTTCTGTCGCACAACATATCTGTCCATAGTGGCCTGTACCTCTCGTTCCTTTATGACTTCCCTAAAGTGTTTCACAACATTGTCAGTGCAATAGTCACCAGCACGGCTTGCAATAGCTGTGTGAGGGTGATTTTCATCCATAAAGGTTTGCACTTTCAGCCACA